TCGATCCAACAAGTTCGATATGTACTAGGGTTGTGGTTATCTTTCCACATTCACCGATGTCTTACTGGTATATGCATGATGTACATCCTGAAATTAATATTATAGTTAAATATATTTCATATTATACAAAAAATAAGGCTAATGTTTGCAGAACGAACATACATCATGCTGATAAGCTTAAGTATGTCCTCCTATTTCATCATTGTAATGGTGTCCATGCTCGCATCCGAGATATCATACTTCAACCGTATTTTTGTATGCATCTCTCTCGACAAAGAGGAAACATATCAAACATTCATACCTAACAATTTATTCATTCAAACTTTAAGTATATATTATAAAATATACTAAAAAAATAATGCAATATAATTTAAACATACACTGAAAGGAAGCAAAAATGTAACACTCGTTTCTCATAATCGTTTAACTAAAGACTTAACATGATAAAAAAATTTTGGAAAAACTTTATGCCACGACGTGGCGCAAGGATGCCCACGAAGTGGCATGGCTTAAATGATCGTGTCCTTCTGATGAGTCCTACGACATGGCGAGAGAAGGGTCACGACGTGGTGACTGTTTTGGTCAAAGCTCATAACTTTAGGGTTTTCTCCGTATTTAAGCCTCTAACATCATATTTAGGGCATTACTTTCGGCCTCATCACCTCCAAGAACCTTAATGCAAACCCTAAAATCCCTCCGCCATTTTGAGCTTACTTTTGGTGATTTGGTGCATTTTTAAAGAAGAAGAAGACCCTTGTGGTATAGAGAATCTATTGGCAAGCTTAGAGATTTCATTTGAGCAACTTTTGGACCTTTGTGAGGTTCCTTTTTCTGATCTTGTTGGTTAGCCTCTTCTAGATCGTTTATATGCTTCTTCTTCATGGTCATGATGTTTTGAGTGGTTAGATTCAATAAAGTTGGCAACCTTATTGGTCATTGAGGTCCCTGGATGGTTTGATGTTCTAGATATGAAGAGTTGTGTAGTCTTAGGTTCATGCATCGGGTTTTTGACCCCATTATACCATTTTTGACCTAGATGTGTGTGTATGTGTGTGTGAGAGAGAGAGAGAGAGAAACATGCATTGGACATACATGTCCATAAAGTTTGGATTTTATGAGCCTTTGGAGTCCCTAAAAACTTTCTGGAAAGTTGAAGTTTAAGGCTTAATGGATTAAGGACTCAATCTATTATTTGATCTCAGACAGTAGCCACGACGTGGCGTGAAGGGTACCACGACGTGGCAATGAGGGATTTTGTCTGGTGTTAGCCACGATTTGGAGGCATATGTTCCACGATGTGGGGATCGAATTATTCGCGACTGAGTTGTTGGATCGTGAGTGAGTTTGTTAGCCACGACGTGGCCATGGACTGGCCACGACATCGAAGTCAACTAATGATGATTTTGACTGTTGACTTTGACTTTGACCGTTGACTTTTGAATTGGTTGACTTTTGGTCAATTGGCTAGTTTTCGAAGGTGAGCTAAGAGTTAAGACATATCAATAGTAAGATGGTGTTGATATGGTCCCTTTCAACAATTCCATTAGGGTCAAGATTTACATTCTTCCTGGTACTTACTTGCAAGTACGTATTATACATGCATCTATGCAAATTAAGCGAGATTAATTCATTCATTGTTAATTTATGGATCTCTCAAGTGAATGTGATATGATGGAGATTTATGGTGCGGAGAAAAAGTGATTGTTCCACTTTCCAAACCATATATCTCTTTGATTGGAGATGAAAAGAAGGCTTTAGAAACGATATTGAGTTGGAATGACAAAGCCTTTGACAAATACAAAGATGGTTCTGAACTCGGAACGTATAGAACCACTTATGTTGATGTACAGTCTGAATGCTTTTGTGCTTTGGGGATCACTATTAAGGTATTGTACAATATACATGCATGATGATTATTGTACGTAGTAGTATATATTGATCTACAATGCAATGCAATGCATGCAGAATACGCTTGTTGCAGTAGCTGGAGGGTATAAGCAGCAAGCAGTGACATCGAGGCTTGTAGGGGACAAGGCGGTGCTTTATAGAGTAAGGATATTGGGGACCCAAGACACTCTATTGGACTCTAATGGATCTCACTACTTTTACCAGTGTTACATACAAGGATCCATCGATTTCTTCTTTGGCGAATCTAGGTCGCTCTACAGGGTGGGTAAACATATATATACTATATAATATATGAAACTCACATTCATTCATTAACTGATGATGGGTTTTAGTTCGGGTTTGGGTTTGATTGATGCATGCAGGAATGTAATATGCATTCTGTTGCTGATAAATATGGAGCCATTGCAGCTCATCACAGGAACTCAGAAGAAGAGGACACTGGATTTTCTTTTCTGAATTGTTCAATAACCGGAAGCAGAGGAGGGAAAATCTACTTCGAGAGAGCCTGGGGAAATTATACAAGGGCAGTCTACTCCTACTGTGATATCGACAACATCATAGACCCTTCCGACTAAAGCAACCGAAACCACCCATGGAGACAAAGGTATCCATCCATCCATCCCTCCCACACTTTCATTATCATTGTTATATATACATAAAACAAAGTGATTTATTTGAATGTTGATGGATATATTTGTGTTCCTATGACGGATGTGTTTGGAGAATGGGTACTGATATTGCCACGGTGATTTTTTATGCTTCCACTGAAAAACATATAGATTTACAATTATGCCCCTACTTAAAGATAGCAACTACATTTTTGTTTCAAAAACACACACAGGTCCTTACAATGCCCCATCATTCAAATCCAATCTGATTCCATGGCTATTATAAAGGCGGAGTATAAACGAAAATCCCTATAGGCAGTTGTGGTGCTTCCTAAGCCTTCGGAATCCAATCTCTACATCGTCTCCGTGTTCAAGGACATTGGCGCAAATACAATGTTGGAAACAGAGTATATGGTAGAGAAATACTCGTTTATTAATCTGAGTTAAGATACCAAGTACAATCAAGGAAACCAACCTACCCATAACTAGAACAGATAACAAACAAAGCCAAAATACTAGAGGAAGAAATCTTCCAATTTATTTGACCGACTTGGTCTTGCAACGTCTCTTTTCAAGTTTGGTATAGCGTCACCGATAACAAAAGCGAAGCACATCTATCTTCGTCTCATATCGCGCCAGGTGTTTCTGTGGTTTACATGGCCGAGCTATTCAGATCTTTGTTGGTTTCTTCCTTATGAATATAATAATTCTACTGTTTGATCTTACAATAAGATAATATTTTACTGAAGTAAACTATTTCTTCAAATTTCTCAAGGATGTCTTGGTTTAACCGGAGCCATAATGATTCAAATCTAACAGCCAAGAAACCGATGCAGCATATCTAATAATCGTAATCATCTTTGAAAACATCTTTGTATTCCCATCATGGACTAACAGCCAAGAAACCAATCTTGGTTCTTCTGATGTAGGTGTCTTCACAGTTGAAAAACAAAGATCCACCACCACCACCCATGCACCACGATTCTGTTAATTAAAGATTCCAATGAAGGTATCAAACCCGTTCAAAGAATCTGCTGCAAGCCATGGGCACCGTCAACTTATGGCTACTGTTTGTACCGATGACGTGGACTGAAGAAGAATCGACTGACGAGAACCGCCGACGTAATAGCAGCGCCGAAGGAGGAACCGAGGAAGAAGGAGGCGTTTGGAGTTCCAGGTGTAAACGTGTGTTTTATTGAATAAAGATTTGTATTTATCTCTCTTAATTAAGTAAATAAGGGCAATTTTGTCAATTTATATATTTTTTTTTCAGTGGATGTATCAAAAATTGCCGTGGCAATATCAGTACCCTTGGATAGGGTGAGCATGGTGCGGTTTGGTGCGGTTTTAAGGCCAAACCGAACCGCAAACCGCATGGTGCGGTTTTCGCATTCTTAAAACCGTTGGGTGCGGTTTTGCAATGGTTCGGTTTTTCGGTTTTTAAATGCGGTTTCGGTTTGTATCGGTGCAGTTTCAGTTTTAAACCGTGTTTACAATTTGGTGTAGTTTTTTATGTTTTTTGGTGCGGTTTTTTAAAATTGTAAGAATTGAAAACCATGTGCATGTAAGCTTGTATTGTGCTGTTTTTTTTAAACCATTCATTTTCAGCTCAAAATAAAAATACATAATCAAAAATTGTAAGTCGCTTAAAATACAACATGTGATTACTCTCACAAACTAATTAATAATTGAAAGTTGGTTGATTCTGACGTAATTTGTTACAAGCTTATTTCATGTAATCGATTAGTACGTTTGGCTAATAATAGAACATTTCTTTTGCACCTCATATAGTCTTATACAAACACAAAACAAACATATAATAAATATATTATCGTTTATAAGTATTTTAAATAGCATGTATATAATATACATTGATTGATTTATTACTATACACGCTTGCGGTGCGGTTCGGTTTTGGTGGACCGGTTTTTTGGATAGAAACCGCACCGCACCGATGACATTCGGTTTTTGCAAAAATTAAATCCGCACCATTGGTTTTTGCATCGGTTTCGGTTGCGGTTTATTGCGGTTTTGTCGGTTTTTCTTTAGTCGGTTCGGTTTTTGCTCACCCATACCCTTGGAGAATGAGTGCAGAGGAAGAGGTGCAGACAGAAAGAATCGGGTATCACAGTCCAAGTCATTGGCACATGTAGAGGCAATGCCATTTCTTGATACAAACTTCATTTGTGGACATGAGTGGTTGAGACTCTAATCTATCTATACAAGTACAAGACTAGAAGAGAATCAGAGCTCAAGGAGAGGAGAGGCATATCTAATTCTCATGAGTCATGAGATGAAGAACCACGCAGGCATACATTACACCGAAGAATTAATGAATTAGAGTGCCTGTGACTGTGCCATGATTTAAATTGGTGGATGACTAGAGACCCGAGCTTAAACATATGAGAATACAACAGTCAACAGTCAACATCAACAACCCAAAAGATAAAATACGAAACATCAAAATGAAATTAACATCAAGAGATGGATTCTTGTTCTCTTTACATGTTCTGAACAAAACAAGTTAAACATCATATTCTTCAAGTCCATTGCTTGTCAAAACATTAGAAAAACAATTCTAAATTTGTGTACGTTTGTTTGTTTTAAGTACCCACATTTGGGGATGGGGTTGCTATGGGTTGGCCATAAGAATATCTCCACTGCCCACATGCCCCACATTTCTCTAGCGTCACATTGTTTTCCAGTGTACAAAATTTACATGACCATGTCTTATACTTGTCTTCAACAGATTTTGGTTTGTGGGTTCCACAGAGCTCACACACCGGAGCCAAAACCTGCCATAAATCATAAATCATAATCAAACATGTCTTATAAATACAACAGATTAATGCAAAAACTGAACAGGAAGAATTTAAAACAGTTCTTACCGGATTCAACAATGTGCACATCATGCACTCCCACCCAGAGGACGACTCATGGACATCATTATCACATCCTCCTGTAGAGGCACTGCTCGTTAAATCAATACAAGTTCTCTCAAGATCATCAAATTCATGGCGACTTCGTTTATTACTTTTAGGTGATGATGTCAAATCAACAAAGGATGATTCTGAATGAGGACCTCTTTTCTGATGAGTCTTGGCACTAGAAGAAGAGGTTTCATTCTGTTGCACCTGTGCTCTACTTTCTTCCTCCTCAATTACTTCCTCTAGACCACACCATATATCATCTTGCAATCTCCTTTCTGCAGCCATTGCAGCAGCTTGTGTAGGTGTTAGGGCAGACATAATAGATTTATCACCACCAACACGTTTAGGACCTGATGGTCCCTGGCGTGCTCTGTTTTCTGCAGCAGCAAGTGCAGTCCGCCTGAGAGATGAGAGAGGAGGTTGATGAGAGAAGCCACCTAAGCGTCTACCTGGAAGATCAAACCCATCTCCAGAACCTGATATTCCCTTACTCATCAGCTCCTCACATTCCTACATATATGATATAACATCACCACATTTGAATTGCTCACCACAACAAATAGCCATGTAAAATGATGGAGATGTAAATACCTTTCTAAGCTCATCCCAAAGTTTGTAGAACCCGGCATTATGAGGGCCAATGGCATTATGACACAGCTCATGTAGCATTGTATCAAGAACATGATCAAAAGGGTAAAAATCCCAATCCGTGTTTGGCTTTCGAAGTCTCAGCTTCACATGAAGACCATGTCCCACGTTCAAACCCAGAAGTCGTGGGTTTTTTGGACTACAAAAAACATACATCTTCAATCACTAAACTAATCTTAAGCCAGCTTATAGTTGCTCACAAATTTAAGTTTCATTCAATCTGTTATCATTCCCAGCAATTGTATGATCATCCTACTGTTTTAGAGTGGAGTCATCATTTTGTCATAACCACATACAGGGGAAACAGAGAAATTATCGGGACAAAATAGATTTAGGGATTTAAAATCCTAATGTAATGAAGAAGAAGAAGAAGAAGAAGAAGAAGGAAGAGGATACCACATCTCGGATAGAACCTTAACCCTCCATTTATGCTTGTGCATGATGGGTTGGACCTGTTTGGCGATTTTCTCAAGGAATCTCTTAGCCTCATCTCCGCCAACCTTCCTCTTCAACGTTCTGATTTCCCAAACCTTGTGAAGATCGTTCACATTCATCTTAAATCAAACACTAAATCCGAAATCTGAAAGTGTGCCTGATATTCAAATAATTTCGAATCCGATCGTGTGAAGAGAATTGAATCAAATAGGCTTCCAGAATGAGGAACCCAAAAGGGTTCAAAATCAAAACACCCCCCAGGCCCCAGTCCCTAGTCCCAAAACCCCTTTGTCATTCTCTCCTAGGGGTGTGAATGGAACCAAACGGGAGCGGAAATAGCTGCCCCAAACATTCATATGATAAAGACAAAATGTAGTCTCGATAAACCCAAGAATCAAACCCAAACTCAGTGGAATGTAATCGACAAAGGCAAAATGTAGTCTCAGTTACTCAGTTGTACCAGAAATCGATAATCACTGAAATGGAAGAAAGAATGAGATGATTGAAACTTCAGAGAGGGAAAATGGGGTTTTAATTAAACGGGAAAGCAGGTCGGCAGTCGGCACTCGGCAGACGGAGACGAGGAAGACGCCCGGAGACGGTGATTCGGTGAAGACGAACAGACAATCGAGTTTCGACGGACGACGAAGGTCACGAAGCTTTTGTGAGAAGTTAATTGGAAAATAGAAACCCTAAAATTATGATCTAAATATATTTTTTCATATTAAATATACTAGGAACGTATAAGGTCATGCTAAGCACGACACAGCCCACGAACGTTTCTTAAGGAAATTCTACAAATATATGAAAGCACCTTTACGTAATAAATATCCGTGTAATCTTTTTCCATAAAACCATGGGCATTGCTGGAATAGTGAAATTCAAATCAAAGGTGACACATAAGTATTTTTAGAAAAAGTATTGATCAAACTTACTTATTTTTAAGAGCGACCTGGTGGGAGAACAGTTGGTGGAAAATAAATTTTAGGAGCAAAGACATCCACATTAACAAACATCTCTTGAACTTGAGCAAATGCTTCTAAAAAAATACGTATTAGTTTACCCACCGTATTTTTGTTGCATGACAATTAACAAAAGTAACAACATCATTTCTTTCAACATATGATCTATTATCACTCAAATCACGCCCTGCCAAAGTTCTTAAAATGGTGCCTTCCTCGTGCATTATATTATTATCTTTAGTAGGTAATATTTTCCATTCAGTTGGTATCTTAAATTCCTCTTCCTTTCCTTGGGGTGTAAGCCTGAGGAAATTCCATATTTACCCCTGAACATGTAATGCATTAGTACCCCTCCATCTTAGCATAGACATCCTAGCAAATAGCATAAATTCCCTAACCATTTTATGAATATGGCCATACCCCAAACGAATTAAGCTGAAATAAAAATAGTAAAGACTGCTCCAAAGGTGTGCCAGTTGAGTACTAGTATTATTTTCGAGTCTCAAAGGGGATCTTTTAAAGTTCTAAAGGAGTGTCTTGATCGGCGTTTTCAAAGTGGTTGCTACAATACAAGTTGAAGAATTAAAATCAAATAATCAATAGGTGCTTAAAGTCACATACAAGGTGTTTACTGATTATTTTTTCCTAAATAATCTCAAAATTGAAATCATGATCAATTTTTGTGAATTACCCTAAACTGTTTACTCTAAAATTTGCAGTAATAAATCTAAATGAAAATCTGATAAGTGATAAGATTGTTTTGCTTTCAGGAAAAGTGCGAGAACAATAACACTTTTATTGTAGAGTCTAAAAAGATATGCCAAATATAGAATTTGAAAGGTACCAAACCTGATGTTAAAAAACGACACATATGTAAGGTGTTAGGAGCTTTAAACAGAACAAAAATGTATAAATTTGCTTATAAATGGGTACGAATAGTGCTCAAGATGGAGGAGTCATGCTCTCAAAGAGTAAGGCAGCAAGTTTATCAAGAAGTTAAGTCCCCATCGCGATTCCTTATACAACAACTATAGTAAAACCGATCATATTCAAATTTATACAAAATGGAATTTCAGCCGTTCAAAAAAAAGGCAAAATGGAATTCGAGTAGAAGCTAAATTTATGTCAAAGATGCTTTCATCCGGTGGTTAATTGCTTTCAAACCATCATTAAATGAAACCAATGTCTGCATCCAATTTCCCAGGCATGAAACAGAAACAAATAGCAACACGATTCTTAATCTATCATCTGGATATTGAATTCTAAATTTTCTAGAATGCAAAGAATGGAAAAAAAAAAATCTATCCACTGAGACGGACACCCTTTAAGTTATCGATGATCTCTAATAAGGTGAAGAATGATCATCTGAAAGAAGTGTACCAATGCCAAGTGAATATCCGAGTTCATCTTTTAGTCGTGACATGTGTCTGTAAAGGCATGAATTGGCTACTTTACCCCAATAATGGGTTTTTCAGGCTCCAACCCCTGTTACAGAAAACCAAGGCACCACAATAAGAATCAAAGGCAAATCAAATGAGGTTGACTTTTGTAAGTATAAAAAATAGTGGCCAACTCTTAATTAAGAGGAACTTCAGGAAATCCAAAGAAAAGGAAGGGAAGTATACATCCCATAACAGTTTTATTGATACATCTTTTGGAAAAAAAACCATAAAATAGAGAGAAGCAGAGAGTCTCTCACTGGAAGAATATCGTTACCCATTTGACTTCTTTCTTTACCCCTCGTTCATGATCAAGAACAAATTTTGTCACAAACAAACCACGTAAGACGGATTACTGGAAAGAACAAATTTTAAGAAAAAACAGAGAAATAGTGTAAACTGAGAAGACTAATTACCAAGACTTGAGCTGTATCGATTGATCCATAGTTTCGTCGGTCTCCGTCAATTCCTAGGTTCACATAATCGGACGATGGTGGTGAATGAATTAAGCGTAGGTCGAGAGGGGAGATGCACCACCGCTAACCACAATGTGGTGGGAATTTTTTTGGGTTGCTTCATCTATTGGAGGTGGGGTAGGTTCACCACCACGAACCACAATATGGTAGAGAACCACTGCAGTCAGGTGAACCACCGCCATAGCACAAATCAATTTGGGCTTCAGGAAGATGAACGAGGGATAGAGGTATTATACTATGAAGTGTCGAATGTAAAACATAAGCCATCGATTGATCGATTAGAGAGGAATGGTGGTGGTATGGCCAATATTCTCTATTATCTTCCGTTGCATGTGTAAAGAGAAAAAGAAGAAGAGGATATCGGTGATATCAAAAGTGGATTGAAAGCCGTATGTGTTGGGAAAACAAGTTCTAGGTGAAGAGTTGAATTGGCGGTGAAAGTCACCTGTCCGGTTGACAGAGGTGGAGGTACAGATGCCAAGCATTAGAAGAAACAGAGTAGTGACAAAGCTTTTGCTATGTCATGTTCAAGCACCAAGTGGAAAAGCTCATGAATTGGGTTATGCAGGCGGTGAGAGTGAGCAGAACATGGTTTCACGCCCCAAAAAGATGCCATGCGTGAATTAGAGGTACGCTTCCTAAGTAATTAAGTTTTTGTATATAACTACATCATGAACCGTTTAAATGTTGGGAGCACATAAAAAAAAGATAAAATGACAGATAAAGTAACAAAAAAGACTTCATATTATTTTGTGGTATTGATTATTATAATCAGGCCCGGTGACGAAGGGGGCAAGCTGTGCATGTGCACAGGGCCCAAAAATTTTAAGGGCCCTATTTTTTTTTTGTATTCTATGTTCAGGAATCGGTCAGAGTCCACACCCAAAGGCAGAAAAACGATCATTCAAGCGATGATCGATGATCGACTACATACCAACTCAACAGGTCTGTGTGGCACAACCTCTTCGTACAACAACAATAACATTGTCGAGACATCGAGGCTTCAAGTACGCTGAAGAGTTGATGCAGAGAGGATCGGCGGCTAACTATGTCGAAGCAACTTATTGCATCAGCCGTGCCCTAGAAATCAGGTTAGGGTTTCTAACTCTACAGGCTGTTTTATTCATCCTATTGATATATACGAATCATCTGGTATTCTGCTTTGTTGAAAGTAATCAAATCATGTTTACAAGTGTAATTTTGTTTGTTTGAGAATTATATAGTTACAATTAACAATTTTGGTGTAGTTCTATTAACTAAGTATTTTTCATTAAGAAGAATTTGCTTTTGAACCAGAAAATCTATGATATATGTTGAACTTTTTATGTTAATTTCCTTTGTGCGTGTGATATAATTGAACACATCTATTTTGAGATAAAGATGATGAAATTTCTTTCTTTTGGGTTGTTGTATCAGAGCTGCCCATTATGTCGAGATTGCACCTGAATGTGTGAGATCATATTATAAATACAGATGTTTACTTCAATACAATGCTCAAGAGGAATCTGATCCATTAGTCTCAGTACTGTTTCCAAGAAAGAATCCACTAAAAAGGTTCACTAAATATGCAGAAAGTGGTGAAACTACTTTGAATAAAGCAATACTAAAGAAGGTACTTCAAATCTTCATAACGCACATCAATGATGTTTGAAACTGTTTTCAATAATACAAATGTAGATGACAATGGCATTTATGTTCTTGGTTTTTTTGAAGTGGAAGATAAAGATGAATATGATGAAGGAAGTGATGGTGAGGATGAAGAAGACGAACCTGACCTAGATTTAGTTTGGAAAATGCTCGATGTTCAAGGGTAATTTCGGAAAAAGAACCAGGTTACACAATGGAGAAAATAGACAGTCTTTCAGCTTTAGCAGATGTAGGCTTAGAAGGAGGTATGCACATTTCAGTTTTATATAATTTAATTCGTTACACGTTAGGGCCTAAGGGCCTTTTTTTCGCCTCGTCCTGGGTATTTGAATCCTCAGGACCGGCCCTGATTATAATGTCTAAAAAAATAAAACGAAATGTCTGATTATCTATAATTGTTGAAAGTCCTTTTTGTAGACAATATTTTTTGTGTTATTAATTGGACGACCTTCCTCATCATATATGAGTATCTTCAAGCATTTTTTACTTGTCACGCGAGAAACAGCTGACCATGAGTGAAGAATATTATATATCAAATACTCAATACGATTATGGACGGAATAAATGCAGTATACAAAAATATATTTGTGATGTCAAACAGTGGTGTAACAATATAAAATTATAGTACTGCAACTTCCCTTGTTTAAGTTGTTTTTTTCTTTTCGAATTAATGGACTTAATTAATGGGGGACAACACTTAATCTGGACAAATAAACAGTGTTGTTTTTTTATTTGTTATGGCTCATACAATGGTATTACTAATAGGGAAATTCCTTTTTTTATGGTTTATTGAATCTATATGAATTATGTTTATGTATTCCTCTTTTACATACAAACTTTTACATACAGACTGAGTTGAATGAAGATACCTAAGATACAAAGAACCCTATTGAGGCAATCCGCAATTTCAAGCCCTCAGAAGATAAAATACCAGAAACCTTTCGACTTATGCGAGCCAAAGGAACATTTTTATAAACATGAATTACATGCATTATGTCACGCATTCGGTATTCTACATCAGGAGCAAGAGCTAATGCAGCGTCTGGAGACAAATTATTTATGCCAATGCTCTGTGCTATGACCTCAACTATCTCCTGTGGTAAGATGCTCGTTTTTCCTCTCTTTAATACAGTTTCATCCGACTGTAGGGAATTCAAGAATAACAGAAGAATCAATTTC